TGCCATTGCGCGTCCACATCAGACACAACCGTTCTATTTCTTTTAAATGTAAGCCTTGCCGGTTTATATAAAGTGTAAGCCTCTTGATCAGCAAGCCAAGCGGCAACCTGCTTTCTGCTTAAAGTTTTACGGTGTCTTTTAGTGGCCTAAAATAAGGGTGTTACACCCCCAAAACTCCCAACTTCTCCGGGAGAGTAATACATTTTCTTTAGCAACCTCACCATGTCTAACCCATCTTGCTTTAAAACAAACGTATACACAAGAGCCCGTTTTTGCTTTTGTTTTTATTTAATACACAAGCGTCTATACACATCTTACTTTTTTAAAAAAAAAGACAAGCTTTTAATGCCGCAGCAAAGTAATATATGGTACAACTATACACATTTATTTAATGCATAAGCAGAGTAATATAGAGAACGGTTATACAAACTTTTTTAAAATTTATTTTACAATACATCTTAATCAATATTTTTTTTTGAGCCTTTAGGGTCAGAAGCTGGCATGTAAGAAGTTTTATAATCCATTTTATGAACCCTGCTACACACAGATCGGCCAATGTTGGCTGCCAACTCGTTTGACAGGTCTACCAGCAAGGCCACCAGGTCAGATGTCTCTGCAACCTCCCTAATCATTTTTACAACTTCGGTTATAGTTTCAGTGGTTATGTTAAGCTTTTTCAGTTTGTAGCCTTCGGCTATAATTATATTTATAAGCTGGGCCACATTCAGTTTAGAAGAAATACGTCTAATCTGATGAAATACTTCTGAGCGACCCCAAAAGATACAAGGGTGACTAAAAGGGTTGGGCTCATTTACCGCACAGGTCTGCACAGTTTTCCAAAAGTTGTTTTTTCAAACAGTGGTAAATGGCTTTTACTACAACGGCCCTAATAATATCGGCCATAACATCATCTTCGCAGCTCTTCTGGTCGCCCTCCTTATTTTTACAGACTTTTTTTTAAAATCTTGCTTCACGCAAAAACAACAGGTGCATATCACGGTTATTCTGCTTAAAGGCCGCCTCTCTTTATCCTCTTCATCCTCTGAAGATGTCTGTCAAAAACAAAGTAAAAATATGTTTTAAATTCTTTGTTGCAAACCTTTAAAAATAAAAAAGCCCTACAGTTTATTCGTGCTACCTCAATCGTACCCTCGTCTGATTCTGAATCATCATCATCATCATCCCCGACTGATGCACCGTTGGGCCTTGTGGCACCTTCCTGTTATTAAACACAAACATATAGCCTTGTTTAACCTCCCCTTATATATGTTTATATTTATATTTCTTTTAAAATTTTCTAAGTAACTTTTACCTCATCATGTTCTTTTGGTTCTACAGTTGACAACCGCTCGCTGCACCCGCTGTTTGTGTTGTTTGTTTCTGAATCACCACTGGCGGGAGCTCCGTCGATCATCGTTTTGGCAACCTATTATTAAGCACAACCGTATAGTAATGTTTAACCAGTGGCTTACATATATATATATATATTTTTTTTCTTTCAAATAATTTAAGCTGTTTTTACTTCCTCATGTGTTTCTGGTTCTGCACCTGTCGACCACTCGTCACACACCAGGGTAGTAATCTTGTACGGACCCGGCTTGGTTATCTGTCCAAAAATACAAAAAAATCATTTTTTAAGAGCGTAAATGAAATAACATTTAACCATTGATATTTATAAAACATTTGTAATTTTTCATTAATTTGTTATAAAAAGGGTCTTACCTCTGCCTTCGAGTCAGCTTTCTCCAAATCCGACAACAAATTTTTTCGCACTTTATCCTTTTCTCTTTTACAAATGGCTGTGGCTCCATAAAGTCTTCCTCTTTCTTCGGTTCAATTTCAGGATGAAACACGGGGTTCCGCAATGGTCCTGCCTCGTTAGCAAAATAAGCGTAAAGAGGCCTTCTCTTCTGAACACGTACTGGTGCACCCAGGGGCAATTCCGGCTTCTTGGCTTCAGTAGGTGTCTTGTACATGGACACGTCTTTGTGTCCAGGCTCCCAGTTTTAAAGGCCCACTCACAAAAATACGTGTTTTTATACACAGGGCCAAATGCTTATTGGTTAGAGTTTTTCAAATAACCCACCACGCAATAGTTCATTTCTAAAAGGTTCTTGTTTAAAATCTTGGGACTACAGGATTGGTTTAACAAGTGCATTTTGTGACCTAGCTGTAAAACAACCTCTGATTGGTTCACCAAAAGGTGGGGCTAGCTCCCTAGGCTCGTCACCCAGAACAGCTATCATTTCACTATCAACAGTCTCTGGGGTAGGATGTTTCGCTCTGAATGTGTTCAGTAACACAGACTCTCTTACTGCTTTATTTTTTCCTCTCTTTCTATTCTTGAATAACCTGTCTTTATCAGCCTCTCTCCTGACTCAACCTCCCCAAAAAACCTTTCTTTCCTTTTTTTCTCTAAACCTTACTCAAACTTTCTTTTTTCGTCTTTACACTCTCTCACTCTCTTCTTTCAACTTTTTCTCTCCATGTACCCAAGCACAAACACACACAACACTACCCCTGCTCAAACACACACACAAAATTTTTCAAAATGGCCGACGGTGCCAAACTTTGGCGCCACCGGAAATGGGATGGGAAGGCGGGGACATAAGCCCTAAATGGGCCATAATTGGGCATACAGACCTGTCAAAATTGCATGGTGATGAATGCTATCGAGCCGTATACTACTCAGCATTATAAAAAAACAAAAAACAACTTTAAGTGCATTTTTCAACCAGATTTTGAAAACTAGTGGCCAAAATCCCCACCACCACCAATGAAGTGATTTTTTTTAATCCCCAGGCAGGGGAGAAAGGAAGAAGCCACAGATGCAAAGCAGGGAGAGCATGGACCTTAGTTTGTTTCCAGGAAATTCTCTCAAGGCTGGTGAAAAGTGGGAAAACCTACTTCTTTGATACTTCTCAATGAATTGGGATGCCCCACGTAAAATTGTCTATTTTCTATTCTAGGTTCAAGGAAATAATCCAGAACCCATCACAGTATTTTGTTGACCGGTTTCCAGATCTGACATTTTATGTCTATGAGCATTTGCGCTGTGTGGACAGAGGTTGGTGGGATTTAATTACCTATTTGGTAAATACCTCCAGTTTGGGAATTCAAATTAATCAGTTTATTTTCACAACTGAATAACAAAAGCACGCTCTGCCAGTCTTAATCAGAATGGAGAGAAGGCCTTCATTGGCCCCAAGGCCGATGTATCTTTATGAAAGCTCTCGATTCCTTGCATCATCTCTTCTCTCTTCACAGTTCTAGATGCACTCCCCTCAAAAAACTTGGGAGGCTGAACTGGAGACCTCCAGAGCTAAATGCATGGGCTGCTACAGCTTGAGCTAAAGTTCTCTAGGTGGGGTTGTAACAGACTCTTATCCTCGGTGTATCAAGCCCAGAAGAGGACCTGCACCACTAGTTGGTTACACCTGCCCCACAGAGGCCAGGGGCGACATGAGCAAGCAATCCCTGGCCTCCTCATAGAGTAACCCTCATGTAGCCAGGCCAAGGGGCATTGGGAACTTCTTGTTCACTCCTGTGTGAGGCCTGTTTACAACCAAGGTCTAAGCCAGCGGTTCTCAAACTTTAGCAATCCAAGGACCCCCATTTTGATTTAAAAATTTTTAGGGACCCCAAGCCCCCCCACTCAGCCCTTGCCCCACCCCTTCTCTGAGGCCCTGCCCCCTCTCAGGGCCATCCCCCCCTTTCCTCCCTCGCTTGCTCTCCTCCACCCTCGCTCACTCTCACCAGGCTGGGGCAGGGGGTTGGGGTGCAGGAGGGGGTGCAGGCTCTGGGAAGGAGTTTGGGTGCGGGCTCTGGGAGGAAGTTGGGGTGCAGAGTGCAGGAGGGGGTGCAGGGTGCGGGCTCTGGGAGGGAGTTTGGGTGCCAGCTCTGGGCTGGGGCAGGGGGTTGGGGTGCAGGAGCGAGTGAGAGGGGCGGCGCTTACCTCAGGCGGCTCCAGACAGGCACATCCCTCTGGCAGCAGCTCCTGGGGGGGGGGGCAGAGGGTCTCAGTGTGCTGCCCCTGCCTGCACGCACCACTCCCGCAGCTCCCATTGGCCGCAGTTCCCGGCCAATGGGAGCTACACAGTCAGTGCTTGGAGCGGGGCAACGTGTGGAGACTCCTCCCGTGCCCCCCCCCCCAGGGGCTGCAGAGACGTTGCTGGCTGCTTCCGGGAGCAGCTCAGAGCCAAGGTCCCCACTCCTCCTCCTCTCTCCCAGCGCCTCCTTCACGTCGGGGAACAGCTGTTCCCCGGCATGAAGGAGGTGCTGGGAGGGAGGGGGAGGAGTTTCTCAGCGGGACCCGTGGACCCACTGGAGTATCCTCAGGAACCCCCAGCAGTCCGCGGACCCCAGTTTGAGAAACACTGGTCTAAGCTACCAGGGTGTAAATGCCCCGGGCCCAGAAGTTCTCTAGCATCTCCAAAAAGGTGATCAGAGTGAGAACAGGAGATGGATTCAGAGGCTCATGTGGTGTGTTTAGAGTCTGAAGGGAAAGGAATTCACCGTGGAGGTTGCTCTGCTATTTTTATTTAGAGGCAGGCAGAAGGGCACTAGGAACACATCTAGCAAACAAAACCTTTTATTCTCTGCACTTGCTAGCATCTGAGCAGAAAGTTTCTCTGTGCATGTGCATGTTGCTTGAAACTCAGAACTTTTTTCAGCCATGCAGCGTCCACTAACAACATCGGAGCACTAGGCTTCCCGCTGTCTCTGTGGAGGGGGAAAACACTTTACATCACAGGCTGCAATGACCTCTGGGCAGTTAGCAAGCGAGAAGGATAGTGGGGGACAGATACAGCTCCCTTAGGCCTTGTTTACCACTGGGGATTTCAGCCAGCGCGGTAGCTGCACTAGTGTAGACAGGCAAAGAGGCTTTAAACTGCGGTTAGGTTAGCAATGATGCAGCTTGCCCTGGCTTCAAGCAGTGTCAAGCTCCCCCAGTGCAAATTGCAGCTTGCAGAGCATTTGCCTGTCCACACTAGGGGTTTGCACTGGTGCAGCTACCTGGGTGGCTGGTGACTGGTGGCTGTAACTGGGGCATATCCCCAGGGTAGACAAGGCCTTACAGAGAGACCAGAGTCTCCTGCAATGTTGCTTCAAAGGCACAGGGGGGCCCGCTTACTTTGTGTAAGTTGTTGGAACAACTCCCTCTGAGAACTGGGACAAGAGCATTACACCCAGGGAATCAATACGCCCAAGCAGCAAACCTATTAATTATTATTTACTGGTGTTACGGAAGTGCCTAGTAGCCCCAGTCATGGACCACAGCCCTAGGAGCTGGACAAACACAGAACAAACAGACAGCCCCAGCCCCAGCGAGCTTAGAATCTCAAGATGAGACAACAGATGGAGATGGACAGACAGGGAAGTACAAGGAAACAATAAGACAATATTGTCTAAATAGACTAGACAGCCCCAGGCTGGGGGAAGGGGTCTAACACACAAGCGGAGCGATCAGCGGGATGGCAGCAAACGTCATGTTCGTTCCACAACTATTTTGGGCCTGGGTGAGGGGTGGGTTTACTTAGGAGGGGATCAGCCAAATGGAAAGGGGGGTGAAGGGGACAGGGCAGGGGAGGAGAAGATAAGCGGGGCAGGTGTGGACTAAAGGTGAGGTGAAGATACTGTGAGGAGAGGGAGGGAGGGTTGGAGCAAACAGCCAGTCAGGGCCGGGAAAGTCAGAACCGGCTACAGTTTTGACTGCGATGTCTAGAGGTCCCTGCTTCGGCTGCTCCTGCCCCGCTGGCTGGAGTTTCTGGCTGGCTGCTCTCTGCTATTGTCCCCCAAGTGGAGGAGTGGGCAGGCACTGCCTGTCCTAGTGCCTAGGCCTATCTATCTACCTCCCGTGACCTTTCTTTCTTTTTTTGCTTCCACTTATTTCTTTATGGGGGAAGGGGCCAGTGATTAAAGAACATTATTGAAGGCAGAAGATGCCATCATTGTCCACAGCCAAGGACTATGAGAACAGGTGTTGTGCAATCCATAGGTCTGCCAAAGCACCTAATGCCTGAACTGCCACAACCCCTGATATTCTAGTCCAGACCTCCCACCACAGCCCTGCTAGTGCACCTCAGTCCTGACCTGCAGCACTGCCTCCGGGTGCAGAGTTGCTCTCACTCAAACCGTGAAAACAGGGATGGATTAGGATGGCTTTTTAGAAGCATCTTGAAGCTGTTGCCTGAAGGAAAAAGAGCAAGAACGTCAGGCAATGCCAATCCAAGATGGGCAGGGGACAGGAGGGCACCGACCCTGTACTATACAAATGCACTGGAATTGCAACAAAGCTGAGAAGCCAACAATCCCATCCACCCCTAGCTGGGGTTACTTTCCCCACTCTTCATTGTGCCTAGGGTAGGTTGTGGGGACAGGGAGTTGGCATGCCCACACAATTTGTACTCAGCCTAGGAAGCGAGTGATTTCCCATCTCATGCTGGGCACTCGTACCGGGTCTGGATGGAAGGAGATGAGGTTTCCCAGTCATTACCTACCCAATCTGTTGGGTCACGCAGATGCCAGATGGAGGCTTTTTCCAGTTGAGGCTTCCAGACGATGCTGAGACAAAACCCGAGAGAACTTTCCATCATGAATTGAAAATCATCCTGCAGGCCCCCTCCACACAAGCAACCAGCAACATTCTAACATCTAAGCCTCTTTTTTCCTGGGCAGATAGGAAGGTGAACTCAAGAGAAAGAGCATTCATAACTTCTCCTTGGGGTAAAGAGATCAGCAGGGGGACGTGATGCTCCCAAGGTGGCCTGGCAACATCTACGCAGGTGCAGGGCTGGATTAACTTTTTGTGGGCCCAGCGCCAAACATATTTGTGGGCCCCCATTGGGAAAATAGGGCATGTGCTGGGGGGTGGTCCGCAGAGCAGGGGCCGGTTGGGGGCAGTGAAGCGCAGCGGGAATGGCCCCACTCAGCCTAGCACAAGGGCACTGTTTACAAACCCACAACTGCTAGACGCACACTGGCCCGCCCAGTCCTGGCTGCCAGTGTGCCCCTTCCCCACTGCCCCCCTGCCCAGTGCCCTGCCCTTATGCCCAGCACCCCCTTACCCAGAGACTTCCCCCACAGATCCCTATGCCCGATGCCCCCGGACCCGCTATGCCCAGCACCCCCTGCCCAGAAACCCCTCCTGCTGACGTCCCACCACAACTGCACAGCACCCTGCACACCATACCCCCTGCCCAGCTCCCCCAACCACAGATCCCCCACTGTCCAGCACCCCCTTCACAGTCCTACCATCACAGCTGTACAGCACCCCCATTCCTGAGGGAATGCTGCATCAAATTCTGTGCATAATATTTTAAAATTCTGCAATTTTTTTTTTACAATAAATAAATGTGGAAGCTCCACCATGGCAGTGGGGAGCACAGGTCACTGGCTGCCTGGAGGTGGGAGAATAACCTGCAGTCTCCCCCGCCCCCCTGGGACAGGGACTTGGCAGCGAGGCTGAACCTGACCCTGACACAGCACAAGGGCCAGGCCTGCCACAGAAACACCCTGGGGCCCTGCCCCTTTTGCGCCAGGCACCACCAGATATGGGCAGCGAGGCTCAGCCTGGCAGCAGGATCCAAGTGCAGAGGGACTTAGTTTGGGAGGATCCAGATGGGGGTAAGAGGGTACTGTGGGGGGGGGTAAGAGGGTTCTGTGGGGGGCAGTCTGGGTGCAGGCAGCTCAGTGGGGGATCTGGATGCACAGAGAGGTTCCAGGTGCAGGGGCAATGGCAGTCTGCAGGGGGGACCAAGTGAAAGTGGTTGGAGCTCAGCGGGGGGAGGGGTCTGGGTGCAGGGAAGGTGGGGTTTATTTGGGTGGGGGTCCAGGTGTAGGTGGTTGGGGCTCAGTGTGGAGGGTGTCTGGGGGGGCTCATCGGGGGTGGTATGGATGCAGGGGAGGTGGGTGTTTGTCAGGGTGAGGGCTTGATGGGCCTGTTTAACAGAGGAGCCCCAGCTGCTGCCAAGGGGATCCGCATGTTGGATCCCTGCTTTCCCTATCCCCTTCTCCTCCCCATCCCATGCCCCTTCCCCACCACTCCATCT